CCCCCCCCCTTCCTCAACGCATTTTGGGAATCTTTACCATTGCATATGGCTCATAACTTGTGGATCGTTGGACAGCAGTGCGCCTGCCGGGAACGCGTCCCACCGGGCGCCAACGCCATCCGTCCACGCTGCCACCAGAGTCTGAAATCCGAGCCTCGCCACCGCGGAGGTGCCTTCGTCACCTGCGGGCCGGGCCACGCACAACGCACAGGACACGTGGAAAACAGGCCTCAATTCGCCTCTCACGACACGCCTGAGTGCCTTTCTTGCACGCGACGACAATGGCCGACGTTCCGGCAACAAGCCGCCACGTTGCTGAAAAACGCGCGTACGCCCTCTTCAATAAACACCGCCCTTCTCTGGGGCGTGATTGAGTGCCGGTAGTACACGTCGCCGTGCCGCTGCCGCACTGAGCAATGACTGGATGCCGCCCGCCGCCCAAAACATCGCATCTCACGGGAATCCTTGAGGTGCCGCGCGGCGACGGCTTGACTTCGAGACGGATGGCTGCGGTTGGCTGGGAGCGGCCCGCGCGCGCACGCAGGATCGCCGCTAATCCAGCCGGTCGACTAATTGAATTGGGAGGGCCGCCGAGTATGCGGCTAATTACCCTGCCGGTAAAATGAAAGGACCGTCCGCGGTCATACGACACCGAAATTCCGCGCCGGGTACGATCCGGGAGCCCGTCCATACGGTATGCGAACGACCTGAGCGTGTGACAACCTCGAGGCACGCCCGGCCCGGCGTCCAGAGACGGGTTGTCCACGTTTAGTACCTGGGGCCGCACGGCAGGCCCCTGCAGGCGGCTCCGGGACAACTCCGGCGGACGCCGCGGCGCATGACGCAGTGCGTCGCGCCGCTGTGCCGCCCGGCCTCGGGCCAGTGCGCCGGTTTGGCCGGTGCCGGCGCGCCAGTCGGCCGGGGTCCGACAGCGCCGATCGTGCAAGAGCACGCCGCCCACTCGTGGCGTAGATGGCGCGGGCGACACGTGAGGTGGCGCATCTGCACAAGAATCAGCACGGCAGTGGGCTGCGCGCGGGCGAAGTCTCTCTCCCTTCCTCCCTCCCTCCCTCCCTCCCTCCCTCCCTCTCTCTCTCTCTCTCTCTCTCTCTCTCTCTCTCTCTCTCTCTCTCTCTCTCTCTCTCTCTCTCTCTCTCTCTCTCTCTCTCTCTCTCTCTCTCTCTCTCTCTCTCTCTCTCTCTTCTCTCTCTCTCTCTCTCCTCTCTCTCTCTCTCTCTCTCTCTCTCTCTCTCTCTCTCTCTCTCTCTCTCTCTCTCTCTCTCTCTCTCTCTCTCTCTCTCTCGCGTGAGCTGGGTCGGCGCACTGCGGGGGGTGAGCAGGTGACCCAAGCATGAAAAGAACACGGAGCGCAGTTTGTTCTGCACGATGCTATCGCCAAACGCCGGCAACGTTCCGCGACGTGGGCAAGGTATTCAGGTGCTTTCCAGAACAACGAAACAGCGCCGTCGAAAGCGCATCGAGCGCGTGCAAGGATGCAAGGAAATAAAGAAAAACAAGGCGGCGGCGTAACACCCCGATTGGTTTGTGTTGCACCCAGACCAAAGCCAGGGTCGGTCACGCACCCATCCCGTTCGGACAGCGTTCGCACCTAATTTGAGTCTCCCATTGTTCTAGCAGGGGGTAATCTGCACCGGGCCCGGCTGCCCCGTGCATTCACTATGCAGCGAGCCCCACTCGGGAACGGAGAGAGCGCGACACACAATACCGCCGGGTCACGTGCGACCGGGCCGGCCGCCGCATGGGTAATGGGCTGCGGGGACTGGGTCAGGTCAGGCCGGCGCGCACGCACCGGAGCGCTGATGGAGCGGTCAGCAGCCTCATGTCGCTGGCCCTGACAGCGGCAGATGGATGGGGATGCTGTGTCAGCAGTCCCACGAGTAACACCCGTCCGGGTCAACTCACAGTCACGTTCGCGCATTCACTGTTATGGAGAAACGAATAAATCACACAGACACCGACCGATCGCCTGCTTTATTGGCGCTGGAATATCACACTATCATTACTATCACACCATTATTATTAATATCACACTACCATTACTTATTATTACTTATTACTGTTATTCTTCTATTATTATTTGTAAGTACTCCGTATGTTTTGTTTTGTTTTTAGGACAATTGGATACATGTAGCGATAAACCGAAAGACGAGTGAGCGGGTATAGATCGGCCGATGGGACACTAGCGCTGTCCGGACAAAACGCGGACCAGACTGAGCGCCGAGTCCCTGGAAGCCTTCATGGCTGCAGCCGATGCCCCTGCGGGCGGGAGCCACAGGCCGGGCGCTCCCGCCGATGCCCCTGTAGGCGGGAGCCACAGGTCGGACGCTCCCGCCGATGCCTCTGTAGGCGGGAGCCACAGGCCGGACGCTCCCGCCGATGCCCCTGTAGGCGGGAGCCACAGGTCGGATGCTCTCGCCGATGCCTCTGTAGGCGGGAGCCACAGGCCGGACGCTCCCGCCGATGCCCCTGTAGGCAGGAGCCACAGGCCGGACGCTCCGGTCGATGCTGCTGCGGGCGGGAACCACAGACCGGGTGCTCCCGCCGATGCCCCAGCGGGCAGGAGCCATGGGCCGGACGCTCCCGCCGATGCCGTTGAGGGCGGCAGCCGCGGGCGCTCGCTGTGGTCGGCTCCAACGCATTGTTGTCTGAGTTACGACGACGGCGACAATTATCCGCGTCACTTCCACGCGTCGTAAACGCTTCGGCCCAGCGGCGACAGGCTCTGTCCGCTGCCTCGTCACAGTCGTAAACGCCGGCGCCGCGGCTGCCGCGTCCTCGGAAGCAGTCGGCGGGAGGCCCGACGGACTCGAAACAGCGGCTCGGGGGCAGCCAGCGCTGCGATCGAAAACGTGATTCATTAGCCATTTTGTGTCGTTTGGCCGAGCCCAGGCAATCAGGACCATCCCATTGCTGAGCACGTGCCGCTTCCACGTGCGTGGCCGTTTAAATCTGGGCTCGACATCAACCAAGGAGTACGAGCTAGCGTGCAGTTACCCAAACCGCAAAGAAAGCGAGACAGGCCACACATGTCATTACCACAACACACGGCGTTTTCGCTGCGTGGGCCGCCGCTCCTCCGTGCGGGGCAGAACCGCCACGGCTCGCGCTAAACGCATGCCCGGCGTTTTCCCCGATCCGTCACGTTCGCGTTTGTTTCAGGCGCGGTAATGGCGCATTAATGCATGGACCGCCGCGGTCGAATCATCTACCTGTGCCAGCTAAACGAGCCCTCGATGTAAAACGACACCGACCGGCGCCCCTCTCCGATGACAATCTGCGGCCCTCTGAATGCCAGGAATGGCATGCGCGCGCCGAAAAAGTCCTTCTCGCGCGGCAATTCCTGGTCCGCCAACTGTCCTTCGCCGATGGCAGGACGGCGGAAGGACGCTGGTCTGAACGTGACCGTAGGAAACAGAGGTCGTGACAGACAGACAAACAGAGGTCGTGACAGACTTGTGCTCGACCACGGGTGGATTCAGGGTCCGCTGGAGAATCGGCCAAATTGAAATAAAGCCGAGATGGACTCGAATTCTTGCGCACTTTGTGTGAGCCGGCGTCGAGGCGAGCTAGTTCTGCATTAATATAAAGGTTTCAGATTGAACTCCAGTAGGCGCGCCGGTAACAACAGCTAGTTCTGCTATGACAGCTCCCGTGACTGCCACACAAAACGGCTTACGTCATGAACAATAGCCCCGGAATCAACTCCATCGCTATCAGTCTCGGAGTTAAACAGTGCCTGTTTGAGAAGGAGCCGGAGTTAGCTCAGGCGTGCGCTATCATGTATGGAGTCGGAGTCGGAGTCAGCCCCATGCGCTGTGACTCTGAGTCTGAGTTGTTCCCGGCAGATTGAGATTAATCGCATGTTTGGGTTGGGTGAGAATATGGGTGGTAAGCTAACCAAAAAGACGACAAAACGCAAAAAGTGTCAGTTCTATCAGAAAGTTAAGTGATATCTTTAAAGTGATGCCGCGGTATCATCACCCACCTGACGGCGTAGCCCTGCCGCGCCACGCGATATGAAATTTGCCCGTCCGCGGCATTGGAATGCGTTCCAGAATAAGTACGTTCGCCCCGAAAAGGCGTCTTAGTAGACAAAGCACCGCCAAATGACCGGCATTGATAACCAATGACCCCATGAGATCGATGGCGGCGGTGCCCACGGGAGCGGTCCCCCGTGCGAGGGCTCACCTCCCTCCGGAGGGCCCGCACCCGACGGCCAGCTCTGCGCTATGTTGGCCGGCCTGTCCGCCGGCTGCCCGCGCGGCCCGTACCTCCAGCGGGGGACGTGCTTAGACCCGGTGCACAGTCGCTGCCTGGCATACCATGGCTGCCTTTGAAGACTTTTACATGCACGCTCTTCGACCACGCTTAAAATGCGTTTGTAACCGTCGGTAATCTACATTTCATTCCAGATGATCCCACGGAAAATGGGGACTTCACATTCTTGGCCGCATGTTCTGCATGAGATAATGGAAATGATATTTCACCACCCTCGAATCCTCTGGGGCGTGCACACTTTCCGCAAAACACACGGCCGAGTTGCAGGGCTGAGCAGCTGCTTAGAATTCGCAGCTGCAGCGGTTTTTGACGCACGGCTGCATTCTCACACCGGGTTATTTGTCCACCGACGTGATGGTCTACACATCCGGCGGCGGGTAATCGCAGGCCGCCCGACTGCAGGTGGTGGTGATTACCGCACAGAACGCATGCTCGCACGCACACTCGTACCGCCGCCCAGAGGCGTAACCAGCGCCGCCGCCGGGGAGACGCAGAACAACTTGCCTGAGAACTGTCACTTGTTGGAATTTGAGGAGAGAGGACAAGATTTGTTTTCTAATGTGACTCATTTAGCATAAGAGCTCACGCTGAACGGAGTCGTCGCATGAGAGCGCTTACGATTTCATTGGTACGTGACGCTGCGGGTGAGGCCAGAGCCGTGCCTCGGCGAGCCGCCGGCGGGGCGGGGCCGGTGTACTCACATCCAGTTGTAGTATCCGTGCACGGCCGCTGGCTGCAGCAGCACGAGCGCCAGCACGGCGGCCAGCGCGCCGCCGGCCGCCCTCGCCCCTGACATCGGACCCGTCTCAGCGCGCCGCATGGCCGCCTACATCACACTGGCGCCGGCACAGGTCTGCGCACGTCAGAGCGTGCCGCGGCACACGGCACACGTCCTGACACAGTGACGTCCCGCTCCCGTCACGCGGCCGCCGGGCGACTGACGCCCGTCCGCCGACCCGGTCTTCGAGGAGCTGCGCTCGCGGGGGGCGGAGCCTAGCGCAGCGCGCGACGCCCATTGGCTGAGCGCGGCCGCCAAAAGCTGTGACTTTCGCGGAAGGTTTTGTGTGATTGTTCCGGCTGTGGTCTCTCTGAGCGCTTAACGGTATTTTTAGTGCGTTGGTGGGTGGAAACCAAATACAAAACGATCCGTGGAGGTCAGATATCACCCAGAAAATTTCAACAAAACTTAGAGCAGTGTGAGAAAGGAAAAGTTGCTGAAATATTTGAGAAGAGCGTTGAGGCGTGCCCTAATGATTCGTTTTCTAACCGTCTTTTTGTCAGAAAATTTCACTCCACCAGCTTGTTAAGTACTGGCCTTAGTGCTAAACCCTAATGTGTGCTAATTAGAAGTACGGAGTAGCGCTATGTCCGTATTGGCATCGATTTAATCAATTGCGTTTTAACTTAAATCAGGCGCAAAACTGGCGATAGTTCAGTTCTTTGGGTTTCGCTGTGTATGAAAAGCACCTTTGCAGAATTAAAATTTTGTTGATCTAGGGAAAACATAATGTTGAAGCCTGGTGTTGGTTTAACACTCTTAAATTGCATTGCTACTGAAAGCTTTATCGATTCATCAATAGCAGACATTGACTAATGACCTGATCTCTTAACAGTTCACCGACATGTCTGTACTGACACATCTCTTAAACATCGTTCCCTGATGCTCAGCAATCTAGACTCTGACAAATAGGAGCCGAGCATAGAGCTATAATTTCCCCATTCAAATGGGTACTTGCCTCGTTGAGATTATATCAAAATTTACCCCAGTCGACTGCATGATTTTGCCGTGAAGGATAATACATCAGATATGTGCATAGTTTTTGGGGCGAGTAGGAACGACCACCGAGCGTATTGGTTGCTTACTTTTCATCTATTCCTATCAATGATAGTATATGCATGGACGTAGGGACAGGAGGCCAAAGGTCACCCCTCTTTCATATTTTTCCCATTAACCTTATGGCGATGCATGGATGAATTCGGCGTTAAGACAAGCACAGCCCGCACACACTTTCTGGGACGTTTCTACGCCTATAAATATACACATGCATATAAATAACCCACTAATGATCGGTTTGGTTTCCTTTCTGAGGACCTTATTGGATTATTTGACCTGATGTTAGAATACCAGAGCACACCTGTTCAACCCAATCAAAGAGCCATACAAAAGCCTAGCTTCGGTATGCAAACGACTGCACGCGTCGCCTCTGGCCAGTTGTCCCGTCACCCTTATCAGACAAGTGCTACTTCCGCGGCCGTCCGACAAGGAATGAGGTCAGTCACGCCGACAATTCCCGCTCCATCCATCCACCGTCGGGCCCGGAAGTAGCTGCCACCGACACCGCACGCGTCACGCTGACCCGGGCCGGCGACCTTGTTCCGTGACAGCCTGTGCCCACGCCGGACCTGTTGAAGACAATGTGTCAATGCGTGACGGAAGAGGTCGTGTTGTCAACTTGGAGGAGTGCCCGGCCGTAAGGTCCATAAGGAATTACTTCAGGCAATTCTGCCGACATAGATGCCTTCCGCATGCCTTCAATCCGTCAGTGCTGGATGGGACCGGAGCCCAGAAATGCTGGACCGCAGCCCAAGAGCGCTGGACCGCAGTCCGAGGACGCTGGACCGGAGCCCAATAGCGCTGGTCCCACGTCCGCCGCGCGGCGCCCGCCTGACCGGGGCCCGGGCGCCGCGGCCGGCGGTGTCTCCCGTCCCGGGCGCGGCCGCCCCCGGGGCCCGGCCGGCCCCGATGGAGATCGATGGCCGAGCAGCGTGATACGATCAGCGGCGATCGGCCCGGCGGCGGCCGGCGCACAGGTGCCCCTCACCGGGAGCTGCTGTCGGCGCTCAGGTGCCCCTCACCGGCGGCCGCTGTCGGCGGCGGCCGGCGCACAGGTGCCCCTCACCGGGAGCTGCTGTCGGCGCTCAGGTGCCCCTCACCAGGAGCTGCTGTCGGCGCTCAGGTGCCCCTCACCGGAAGCTGCTGTCGGCGCTCAGGTGCCCCTCACCGGGAGCTGCTGTCGGCGCTCAGGTGCCCCTCACCGGGAGCTGCTGTCAGCGCTCAGATGCCCCTCACCGGCGGCCGCTGTCGGCGGCGGCCGGCGCACAGGCGTCTCTCGCCGGCGGCCGCCGGCGGCGCTCAGGTGCCGCTCACCGGGAGCTGCTGTCGGCGCTCAGGTGCCCCTCACCGGGGGCCGCTGTCGGCGCTCAGGTGTTCCTCACCGGCCGCCGCTGTCGGCGCTCAGGTGCCCCTCACCGGGGGCCGCTGTCGGCGCTCAGGTGCCCCTCACCGGCCGCCCCTGTCGGCGCGCGTCCGACCGATGTGTTCGCCTCGCCGCCGCCGCGGACCGCGCGCCGGTTTTTGCGCCGGTCGCCGGGCGTCATCGTTTGTCGGACACGGCGACCTGGCTGTAATTAAACGGTCCTGTTAATGACCGGGGCGCGACCGGGCTGATTTACATGCGGCGCGCGGGCGGGCCGCAGCGACGCGGGGTCCAGCTGGTCCGGTGTGGGTGACCGGGACATCCGCCGCGGTCTGCCGGTGTCACTGCGGTAATTACGGAGCGGCCGGCCGTCGGCGGCGCTGTCAGAATGGCATGTTGTCGGCAGTCCTCTATGCGCCGGACGCTGGAGAGATGGCCGGTTCAGTGTGCGGTGGACGCCTGTAGCTCACCAGATCCGGATCGAAAGGCTGAGGCGCCCGCCACGTCACAAATTCAGGCATGGAAAGAATGTAGCAGAGGTGTCTCCCGGCTGATTTTATTGCCCCTGGGATTTATGGACTTGGTTTACGGCTCATGGGGCTATTCATGTCGCCGCCGTGCATCGCGCCGCCTGCGTCATCACGTTTACAGCTGTTGAGTGCGGTAAGATAGCGAAGTGTCGCGTTTTGCTATACGCATCAGTCATGTAACAAGCTGCTTCCTGTGTGGAGTCAGCGCAGTCTTCACGCTCTCGGGTTCAATAGAATAACCGCACAGGCAGCTTTTTTACCTGCGCATCACACCTTAGTTCGTGGTCATGACGGAAGAAGCGGCACGTTTCACTTGATCCGCAGTGAGGTCGTCGCAATCAATCATTGGCAGTTCGCGGCATCAATCCCTTTCACCTCCAGTCCCTCTTACCACCAGGGGCCACCTCCAGTCCCTCTCCTCGCCAGGAGCCACCTCTAGTCCCTCTCCCCGTCAGGGGCCGCCTTCAGTCCCTCTCCCCACCAGGGTCACCTCCAGTACCTCTCCTCGCCAGGAGCCACCTCTAGTCCCTCTCCCAGTCAGGGGCCGCCTTCAGTCCCTCTCCCCACCAGGGAAGACCCCCAGTCCTTCTCCCCACCAGTGGCCACCTCCAGCCCCTCTCCCCACCAGGGGCCACCTCCAGTCCCTCTCCTTATCAGTGGCCAGCTCCCGAATCCACGCCCCCAGGGGTGGTAAACCTTGCCGATTTTGTGGATAAGGTCAGCGAGAAAAATGTCTAATGTCTAATTGCACGTGACGATTGGTGCCAAAAATGCTTTTGGGAGAAAGTTTTGGTGACGGTCGCTACAAAATATTACAGCGCGCATTCCGCAACCTTGCATGGGGCTTCAGTGGTAATGCATTTCATCCCACAACACCAGCAAGCATTTCTGTAAATAACCTTCACCGCACGCGACGGCACCTGGGTATCTTTCTTAGCACCATCCCATCCCGGCGACAAAAATATCCTAATATTTTTAGTTGGCTGCTCACTTCGGTGACAAATCAGCAACATATTTTCTATGGCCCGGTCGGCTTGGCCGATTCGCTGTTTTTACGGGCAGTTTCAGTGCTCCAAACTAGGCAGTAGAAAATACTGCAAAAGATGTAGATACGGCCAATAATTTGGCACCAAAGGCATGTTTCAATCGTTGCAATACAACTCAGATATATGAGATTGGCGGTGGCTTGCAATGCACTGTGACTTTGCAAGCGGCAATTGCATTGGAGTTTGGTGTTTTGGTGTCATGGTGTTTTGATGTTTGATGCTAAGGATTTCGTTTCGATAAAGACATGTCGCCAAAATATTAACGCATCTATTCCTCTATTCTTCTGGTATTTCTACGTAGAATAAGTCTATTCCTACCGTTTTATCTTCATGTATAATATTCCTCGTAAATGCACTTAGCGACGTACGGCATTCAAATTTTCAATTGATTGACAGTTCAGGAAAAATCGGCGAGAAGATCCAATCTAGGTAGAAATTGGGCGGCCATTATTCTGACCGCCTTTTCAAGACAGAGAAAAACAACAAAAACGACTGTTGTCTCACCGTAGCCGTCGCATGCACCCAAGACCCTACAACTAAGCAGGCATCAAGCCTTCCTTCCTTTGAACAGAACCGTGAGTTTGGTGCTGGGGGCTTATGGCACTCCGCAGTGGAGGGAAGAGGAGGTAAGAGTGTCTCTGAAGTGTCAGCTGATGTCATTGTTACCTTGCTCCCGATTGGGCATGGTCACCAATCAAATAGACCTTCAAATCAGGGTTTGTACTTTGTATGGAATTCCTATTCAGTTCAAGCCTCCAGCCCCCCCCCCCCCCAATTTGTGAAGAAGTGTGCTAAATCTTAGGAGGCAGATACATTTAGGTGGAAGTTTGTCTACTTTCATTACCCAGCCCCTCACCCACCACTTATCTTCGAAAACTATGCCCCTGCTTGAAATGAAATCATTTCATTAATGTTTTGTTCGCTATTACTGAGGTAATGACTAGAGATCCTGTGCAGTGCCCATTTTCCCCTGATCCCGTAAGACACAAAACCTGCGGTGTGTGGATGTGCACGTAGGACTGTTTTTGCTGCGGGCAGCGTGAAGAAAAATGTCCGTGCTTGGTGAGAATAGCTCATGCTCTACCTACTCACCAGGTCCCATTTGGCCACCCAGGTGCTCCTCTTACGGATAAGTGGGCCTCAACTGGCCATTA